TAGAAACTTCAGTATGTCTATTTGTCAGTTTTAAGCAGCTCTTTTCATTAATTTGGTCATATTTATATTTAATCTTAGTCTCAGTTTTTCCATTGGTGCTTTTTTGCTTTCATTTTTGGGAGCTTGCATATCATTTGCATTTTCAGTTATCAGAGTAACGTCATCAGCATACTGCAGATTTGTGATGTTTCTACTTTGAATTTTAAATCTATACTTAACTGTTTTCCAATCCACTCTTTTTCAGTATATATCTAGTATATAAATTGAATAAATTGGGAGAGAGTATACAATACAACCTTGTCTCATCCTTTACTGACCTGAAGTCAGTTTGTTTAACCATGTTGTGCTCAGACTGTGGCTTCCTCTTCTGTGTTTGTTGTGCATAAGATCCATGAGATACTCTGATTTGTGATCTTGAGAATGGTTAGCATATATTCAAGATCATATTATGGAAACCGATTGCTTCTTTTTCTGCTTTAACTTGATTTCAAACCTGCACGTTTGTACTTAAGGACTATTGCACAGCCCGCTTCATCTTTGCTATTACAGCTGAGCTCTTCCACTACCTTTGTATCAATAATATAATCAATCTGAGTTTTGTGCACCCCATCTGCTGATGTCCTTATATACAGGTGTCATTTTGGTTGTTTAAAGAATGTTAGCAATAAAAAATATCACTGGTTTAGCAAAAATAGTCTTTTCTGCTTCATTTTTGTTTCTTAGACCATAGGTCCAACTATCTTTTCAACCTTTCCTACTTTGGCATTCTAGTTGTGTTGAGTATCCCATGTTCATATTTCTTATGTTCTCTGCTCCCACTGTAATTCTGTCTTTGCGGCTCCAGCTTTTCTTTTCGTACATGGCAATATCGGCAACTAACTGATGATCAGCATTTCAGGGTCTTTAATCTGATTGCATTGTACATGCCATTAATACTCTGAACCTCAGTTTTTTCTCAGGAGAACATGGAATACTATCTGACCCGAAGGGCCCATCTTCTCACACTATATTGTCAGTCACTTTATACTATCTTTCTAAGTGGCTTTCTTTAGAGGAATGGTTTAGCATTGCTTTCTGCGTGGTATGAAATTATGCTTTTGCCATCGTCACGAAACTGATCATCCACCTTCAGCATTTCCTATATCACTGATGCCTACTTGCTTTAAATAGCTGAGTAGCATTCATATCTTGAGTGACACTACTCAGTACAATATTCTTGGTGTACATTCCCAGCATTCTTCACTCATCACTTCCAGGAACACCACCACCACTACAATGAACTTATGTGGCAGGATTGCTTTAGCAGAATTATTATATAATGGCTTTCTCTGACTTGGAAGTCTGCTATATGTGTTGTATTTCAGTTCCCATAATTCCTGGTATTAGATTGCGGTCCAATGGATGACTGCTACAAATAGAACAATGACTAGAGTAATTGTTCATACTATCTTGAGCCGGGAAGAATATCCTGCTGTTACCTCCTTACACAATTTACAAGAATAAAGCTGTCCATCAGTGCATCAAAACCTAAGTTTAAAATTTCACCAGATAATATAAAATCTATAGTTGGAATTATATTACTACCGTATATATTATAAAGCACATATCATCCCATATGCAACACATTTATGAGGAATTCTAAGAAATATATTTAGACAATTTCTACCCTGTCTTTCTCTTGAAAATACAATCATAAATATTTCAGAATTAAATAAAACTTATTATAGATAGTAAATTCAAAGTAATCTCTTTTATGCTTGTTTTCTTCACTTGTCTTTTAGGAATTTTTAGAAAATTGAGTTATGCAGAATTCCCAGGTCAATGCACTGAAAAACTCTTTTAATTCTGACTACTGTTATCCTTAGAATTATTTTAAAAAATTATATTTGCAATCAACCTTAATCACCACTATTCATTTTATAGATGCAGTCACAGCAGCAATAATTTAATGATTTCCCCCCTATAGCCTATGAATCAAAAGTCTTGCTTCCACTGAATTGAAATGAATACTACTATAAGCTACTTTTTAAAAGGGTTGTAACATGCTTAGGATTTCAATAGAAGACCTACAGAAAATTCTAGGCCTCAGAAGAAAAATCAACAATTGCTCAATAATTTCAGTTACATATACAATTCAGAACCTGTGTAGCAGTTCTAATTTAATTCCATGAACATCTAGATTTAGGGCATTGTAGATGCCAAGATGTATCATTCACCTTTTTTCTCATCTACAACTATAGGTAGTTCTTGCTTAGCAACCACAATTGGGAACCACAAAGTCAATTGTTAAACAAAGTCGCTAAGTAAAATTATGACTCTGCTTATCTTATTTCAATTCCCCTTTGCTTTATAAACTTGCGAAGATCATACGTGCAAAGATTAATTGTAAAGTTACTTTTTGATCACTGTTGTAACTGCAAACAGTCCCTAATCATGGACTACTTATATAGAACTGATTTCTTCTTAACAACTATGATTGCTTTTCTGCCTTGTTTTTCTTCAGATTTCCTACTTCTCAGACTCTAATTTGAATCAAATTCTTGATTACCGGTCAAAATCCTAGACAAAATAAAACTTACAGAAGACAGCTACAAAATTGATTAAAACGTATACCAAATAAAACATGGATAATCATGCTTGCACTAGTTGCTATCAGCCATATGTGAATTTTATAAGCCACAGGAGCAAAGTTTGCATCTGCTAGTAAAAAGTAAACATTCAGTCAATTCTGGGAAGGCATCAGTTGCTCTTTATGTCTCAATAGAAGTTACAATACAATAATATACATTTGTTTCAATATTTATGAAGGCAAATACAGGGCATATTCTCCATATATAGCAAGTGAATAGCACCAAGCAGTTACTAAGGGGATTACCTATAGATGAAGAGGAAACTTGGAGAAGGAAGCAAGTGGTCAACAGTCAGGAAAGTAGTTAACACCTGTTAGAAGGAAAACAATGAAAGATATGTGTGGGTTCTGTAATCATACAATAAGGTTCTTGTTTGACTCTCAGCTGAACATGTGAATGACCTCCAGTTAAAGTAGCTCAGTGGTCCTGTCAGATAATAATGAGCCGAGGTGGCGCAGCAGTTAGAGTGCAGTACTGCAGGCCACTTTAGCTGACTGTGTTCAGCAGGTCAGCAGTTCAAATCTCACTGGCTCAAGGTTGACTCAGCCTTCCATTCTTCCGAGGTAGGTAAAATGAGGACCCAGATTGTTGGGGGCAATGTAAATATATATATACATTGCTTACTGGTGTACACTGCTTTAGAGAGTGCTTGCACTTAAAGCGGTATATAAGTCTCATAAATAAATAAATAAACAAGACATTTTGTTGGAAGGATATAAACTGTTAACGGTTGTTTTCGGTTATAAAAGCAGAATTTAGGGACGGGCAGCAACTGCATGATGCAAGTCTAACTGTTTCCTGAAGTTATTTCCAGTAGCACCAAGACAAACGTTTTTGGAAGGGCTCAACTAGGATATGAAGAAGATCCAGAGCTGTTCATCACCAGAATGTACTTTGGAACTGAGAATCCATTTTGCATTGTAAATGGGTGCTGCTAATAAACTGAACCTTCAAAAAATATTCTTAACTTTTTAAAAAAGACTACAGGCCTCAATCATATTCTGTAATACTGAATTTCATAACTTAACCAAACAATATGAAATGAACATCTTATCAGCTGTGAATCTGTTACTATAATCAACATGTGGATATGTGTGTATACATTTCAATAATGCATATGCTCTTCAGTGCAAATATTAAGGCGCCACTGGTCAATATTATGATTCAGCATTTGGAAGTGGTTATTTCTGGAAAAATGGTATTACAATGAAGTAACTCCAAACTTTTTCATTTTTCACATTCACAGTTTTCTTAGTTTGAAACTAAACAGTTGCATGTAAAAAAGCAAAAGAAAGCTGTGTTCACCCTTGTTTCAGCTTCTGTTCATTTAGGGATTCCGTGAAACACAGCTTGGTGATGCCTAAACTTTGACATACTGATTGCACATATTTTTTTCATTTGTATCTTATTTCTGTATTCCTGTTGAAAACTGACAGGTAAACTCATGTTTAAAAACCTGCCTGAACCAGGACAAAAAAAGAAAAATGTAATTATAGAAGCATTAGAAATATTTTAAATTTGGTCCATGTGACTTTGTATTCATAAGAATGGACTGGAATTTTTAAAAAAGCATGGAAAGGTGAAGGTGAAAAAACATGCATTACAAAGTTGTATAATTTACCTACTTCCACAAGTATCAAGGAGACCAGCATGGCATATTCATGGTTTCATTATGGAGGCTTTGCTTTTTAAGAAAAACACCAAGTTTTTAACTGCTATAGTTGAGAAAGTGTTGGTAACAGCATTAAATATCCAGAACTAGAGATGGTGGAGAATAAATCAGCAGGCGTGAGGTAATTTCAGCATGCAACAAAATGCTGTATCTTGTATGGTTCAGAATCTATATTTCCTAAGAATAGTTTTATTCTGATGTTTATTTTCTTTCAGCATAAGAGGTTAATTTGTAGTGCTGGTGCAGGATGCAGCTGAAAATATCCAGAAAGGCAAGATATCGTTTATTATTATGAATATTTTTTGGTGGCCAAAACTAAACAGTTGGAATCACTACACATTATTAGTCTTGCTTGAAAAGGTCCAAGCCTTTGAAACATCTGTCTTTGCTTAGAGGTAATACTGATCAATTCTATTTGAGATCCTGTTTGGGAACTCTTATAAGTCAGATAAGCATGAGTGTATTTTATAGCTAGTTTTCTCTGACCTGTTCACACAGTATACTAAGCCATAAGAAAGCTTGTTCAGCCTTACTACAGCTTATTGTGTAAACCTGGATTTGATGGCTTATTGTGTAAATCATGATTCAGATAATGTGGGCTCACTTTGCAACCTATTCTAATCAATGGGCTGTTGTCTTTGCACAAACCTTTATGTTAATGTGTCAAATATACACTATTAAGCGCTGGAGAGTGAGAAACAGAAAGAAAGTAGGAAGTTCTACCACATGAGCCTTGCAAATCAGCTTGTTCTGCCTTGTTTCATGTTTGCTGTAATCATATTTCCCCTTTAAGACTTGGCTGAGGTTATTTATGCTTTTTTTTTTAAGGGGTGGCGACAGGAACTGAGAAAAACAACCACAGATCTTACCTGACTAGCACAAGGAAAAAGATAGTGTCAGAGGCTAGAAGGAGCAAGAGAGTTAAGAAGCTAGAAAGTTTGCAAAAAAAAAAAAGTAAAGAAGCACCCAGAAAAAGTTGAGTAAAGCTCATTAGTGGAAGGGGAAACCATGAGAAGGAAGTAGAATAGGGAGGAGAGGCATAAAGACACAAAGAGAGGATAGGTGGGGAAGAAAAAGGAGGTCAAACTAGAAGATGACAAGGAAGTGACAAGAAGAAGCCTGCAGTGAAGGCGGAGAGGGAGAGAGCAACGGATGGCAGCAAGTGCAGCTGGCTTGTATTGAGGAGGTACTGAGCCTCTGGCTTGTTTTCCTGTCTTGGTAATACTATTTCAGCTTGGCCCACAGGATGATGAAGAGGCAGTTTAACCGGATGCGGCAACAGCTCAGTTACCCCAGCATCACTGGACGGTAAGGACTAGTTGTTTGGCTGCATTGCCAGCCTCTCTTTATAGGTATAGTTTGGAGTGCTAGAACTTTGCGTTGAAAAGTTCATTGGGATTTAGATTTTGTATCTCTAGCTGGAGGGTAGCTACTTTAAAAACTGTCACAGAGTAGCTCTCAATGGATGGGGTAACCCCAGCTTTTCCCTTCCTTGGGATTATTTAATTATAGTTTATTAGTGGCTTCCTATGCCCCCAGAATCTCCACTCGGCAGACTTCTAAAAAGCTTCCATGGTGTGATTAGCAATGTGCTGAATTTTCCCACAGTGGATAGCCTTCATTTCTGCAACCCTACTAAGACTTCAGCACCCAGGTTTTGCAACCAAAATGGGAAAGAGTTCTGATTCCCAGTTGTTTAACAAGAACAAAATGATCTCTCCACTTTTATCATACATAGTTTGTTGTAGTGCCTGATGCTGTTGATCTCACTGCTGAAATTGAGAAAACCAGTGTGGTGTGGTTGTTAAGGTGCTGGAGTAGGAATGTGGGTACTCAGGTTCTAGTCTCCCTTGGCTGCAGAAACCAGCTTGATGACCTTGAGCCAATCATTCCCTCTCAACCATTATTAGCATCAAGCTCTGCAACAAGCTAGCTGATAAATAATTCCCCTTTGCTGCATCATGCATTGATAGATTCACCTGTAAGAATCAGGTGATGCAGGGCAAAACAAGCAGACCCTTAGCAGGAAAAATACTAAGAATCACAACTGTTGAAATGAAAATAGTGGGGCTAATTAGAAATTGATTTCAGGGTAGAAAATCTGAAATCCATCTATTATTTCTCTCAGATAATGAGAAAGGGGCTTTTGAATCATACTTTTTGTATATAGTTCAGTTGATAGTCTCTGATATTAGTGAAACAAAAACTGGATTCTGCAAAACTGAAAGCTGCCTTTCCCTGCTGTAATTAAAATTGAAATCTTTTTTTGTGTGTGTGTGTGAACAACCACATGCTTTGAAATCTCATCTAAAGAGGCATACACAGTTGCCCTAAAATAAAAGCTGAGGTTTTCAGATAGCAGATTCTATACAATATTTTACTTGTAGAGGATTAGATTGCTACAACTAAGCCATTCTGAGTCATATCAGTTTCATGTTTAGTCACTTTCTTAGGCTGTTAAAATAGCAACTATCAATCAAAGGCTCATACTGGTGATCCAAATATCCCTGAAATAATAATTGGAGATTGGTAAACTTCTAAAGCAAGTACCAAAGATGCAAACGATAAGTTATAACTGGCAAGGTAGGAAGAACTATGGCATTTAGAAGGATGCTGGAGAATCATAGGATCCCCATTCCTGACCTATGAATAAAAAGAAAAAGGCCAAAGATCATATTTCTGTTAGCTCATGTTACCAACCTAGTGTTACTAACCCTGCATCTCAATCACATCACAACCAATGTGGGGCATTTACTCCAACATATCTGAAAAGTACAAGGTTAGAAATATTTTCTTGCCAAATATGAGCAAGAAAATAAACAGCAGAGTCTTTGCTCCAAGAAAAGGCAGTATTCATTTGACAGAAGGAGGACAGATAATTTTATGATTTGTTTTATTTTATTTATTAAATGTATTTGTCACCTATCTAACTGTGGGACTATTCTTATTATTGCTATAATAACTCTGAAATATTATTGCCCTTCAAAAGATTTAATCAACATTCAATTATCTCTGAGGAAGATGGGCAGTTTAAAAAAATAGGAAATATAAATAAAATAAAATTGATTCTTGATTCTTCTTGTATTTTTTGGGCTGCTTTGCAACCACTCAGCACATCTATAGATGGATAGAATTTTACTTTTGGTCTCCCAGTGGCAAACCCATTTCACTACTCCAACAATAAACAATATAGTGCTTTTCAAATATTTTGATTATAATTCCTGTAATCCCTGGCTCTCAGTCATGTTGAATTAAGCTTCTGAAACTCTACTCCAAGACATAAGGACACCTGGTTGCCTATTCCTGCACTAAACAGTCACAAGGAGGATTCCATGGAGGTTGGATGAGGAGATCTCTTCTTAACTTTGTTCCTGTCATTCTTTCGGCCGGAAGTGCAGAAAAATTTGACTGGTTACCATACATTTGAACACATGGGCATGACATCAGTAGAGTTAGGGCAGGGTTCTCCTCTCAGGAATCCTGAAGCTGCTTTTCCTGTCTTCCCTGTCTAGTAGTATTTTGAAGTTACTCATCCTATTCCAAGATGGGGGTGAAGAGGATCTTTGCAGACTTGCTCACCTAGGCTAATTGCACAAAGGACACTTAACTATTGCTGTTGTTGCATAAAAAAAGCAGCCATGTTAATGATATGTTTTTAGGTTTAACCGTTCTTTGTTTGCAACTTTCATTAAAATGCCATTGGAATCAGTCACCACACAATTAAAGAAAATGCAGAGAGAATTAATCATTTCCCCAGGATGGTTGGGGATATAACATTGTGAACATTCTTTCAATAATGCAGCAGCAATTAAGGTATCAAACTATTAACATTATGATACTTGTGTTTTAGCAGAGCATTTATTTAAAATGGGATTTCTCCCCTCCCCATAAGATAATATGTTACACTCTGTTATAAAGTAATTTTCAACTTATCAGTAACTGGTGAATGGATCCATAGCTATTGGAGTCATCTTAGCCATAAGCTTATGCATTGCCACCTTTTCCTGACTCCTTTTTTTCAGATCATAGGGGTTAAAAATTAAAATGTAAAAATCCACTTCTTGAACTGGCAGGACACTATTGCAATATAAAATCTACTGTCCACATAGCCCATTCCTAGACAGAAGTACAGGTAATCTTCAACTTAACCAGCATTCATTTAATGATTTTTCAAAGTTACAACAGCACTGAAAAAAGTGACTTATGACCAGTTCTCACACTCATGACTGTTGCAGCACCACCACAGTCATGTGATCAAACTTTGAGTGCTTGGCAACTAGCATGTATTCACAACGGTTGCAGCGTTCCAGGATCCTGGGACTGTCATTTGCAACCTTCCTAGGGTGCTTCTGACAAGCAAAGACAATGGAGGAAGCAAGATTTGCTTAACAACCACATTATTCACTTAATAATTGCAGTCATTCCTTTAACAACCATGGCACAAAATGTGGTAAAATGGAGCATGACTCTCTTAACAACTGCCTTGCTTAGCAATGGAATTTTTGGGCTCAAATATGGTTGCAAGTCAAGGACTACTTGTATTGTTTCTGTATAGGACATGTTATGCAAATCAACTGGATAAACACTCTGATTCTCTCCCTTCCTGAATATTACCAACTAGTGGAAATAGTTGGAAAATTATCCATCAATCTCAACAGCAAGGCAGATGCCAGCACATATTTCTCAAGATATATACTAATGTTTCTCAATACTGACAACTTTAAGAAATGTGGTCTTCAACTCCCAGAATTCCCAAGCCAATCCCAATTCTGGGAATTGGATTCCTCACGTCTTGGTTGCTGAGGTTAAGAAACACTGATATACACAAATGGAGAAAGGCTTTTTAACTTCTATCTTCTTTGATTTCCTGATTTGTGTTCATTTCAGTTTGCTGTGAAATTCAAACTAAGCATGTAAATGTAACTAAAATCCTATATACTTCCCCCAGATCAGAGTTTGAAATGTGTTTCTAACCAAATATAGTCGTCCAAAACAAAAGGAGAGGGAAGATATTGTCAGGCACAGTGCTAAGAATAAGAAGGCGGCAATATTTCAGGAAAGGCCATTTCCCAGATTGTGAAATAGTGTCCTCTATGTTTTCCTGGTAGATGCCCAAGTAGTTAGTTGTCCAAGAACTTGGGGGGGGGGAGAGTTTGATCAACACATCCATTGTAATCTTTTTGAATGGGTTGTGTTCTAATTTTTGCCAGCCCATTTTGCCCCAAACCTGGGAAAGAATTCCATTATATCTTCTGACTTCAAAAAACTCAAGATGGATGTTCTGGTAATATTTTGACCTTTGGGCATCTTGCATGCTCATATGATCCTCATCTAATGGTGGCAATTGATTGATTCTGTCTGGACTCAAAAGCTAAGCAGAGCTAGTAGCTGGGATAGGAGATCACCAGAAACATCATGGCAGAAGACTAGTCTGGAATGACAGTCATCTGGGAGTCAGTAATAATGGCAAGCTATCTCTGCAATCAAGAAGATTCCAAAGCAATTATATAGTCAGCTGCAGCCACGTTTGACCTGAGGGCATCCTTACTATTTTGTTTATCAATGGCAAGACTGTGTTGCAGAATCTGGAAAGTATTCCAATTTCCCCCAAAATAGCATTGTGCTGTTGAAATAGCAGTTTTCAGACTCCATTTCCAGAGTATTGGAAACAATTATTTTCAAAAGGAACCAAGAGTAGATTTTGAGGCTTTTGCTATTTCCTTATGTTGCCATTTATAGACCTTGGGCTTACATTCAACTTCAGGTTGGATTGTGAGAATTAAACCACGATTAACATTTGAACATTCTAAGCCTGCACTCGTCTGACATGCTGAAGCTGCCCAAGAACCCTTCCACTATGTACCAACATGTCTGAATAACTGTGGGGACAACTGTCCCCATTCCTCTCCATGGCTTCTGTTTTTTTCTGAATGCTAACCAGATATATTGTTAATAACAACTATGAACCTGTAAAATTCTGATTCTATTTTACTTTTCCAGGGGTAAATCAATCCTCTAACAAACAAGCCTACTATTTTATTGAAAGTATAATGCTGATCTGACATGCAAGGACGTGGCTTATAGACATTATTGAAATAATATAATGTACAAGTGTGTTGATGACCTCTTTCTTCCATTACTGCTCCTCCTTCTCCAGAGCCCAAGAAACAGCAGATTACTTGACTGAAGACTTGCTCCAGGTGAGGCACTGGGTTTCATCTGTGGGCATGTACTTACCTGTAGCCCTGTGCTGGCAGAGAAGGCGTCACTCGTCTTAGAGAGCAGTTTGTTTTCTCTCTCTGTCTGAGTCACAAGACAATCTTGGACTGGAGTCATCCTCTCCCAATATAATCCAGGTCTATTAGTAAGCTGTATCATGCAAGCTTCATACAATATATTCCATTGGGTGGGGGAGAGAACATCCAGAAGATGCAAAGCATTAATGAAACAACTCAGACTAGCAAAAGTTCAGAACATGCAAAGCTGCAGATAGATTGTGAATTGGGTCACTTTCCTTAAATTAATGGAGTTTTTAAAGGCAGTGAAGAGGCTTTCAAATAGACAGGTTTTATGCCATCCCTCACAAGACATCCTAAAATCATTGGGCTTTTCTTTCCTTAACTGATTTTTTTCCTGGCATAAAAAGCCTAGGAAAAAAATAGGGACCACAATATTTGAATTCAATATAAAATTCTGACAATGAGAAGAGTAGTGAATAAATGAAAAGTGCCACAGATGAATATAATGTATATATTTTAGTCACAATCTCCAACAGGAGAAGAGGATCAGACTATTCTGGGTATGCTTTCAAAAGTGGCTGCATTTTTTAACTCCAGCTATGTCATTTGAATAACAGTACAATGTGTTTTAAGCACTGGAGTCCATTAATAAATATTTATTTTATCAATTGAATTTGTATGTTAAACAACTCTGAGTGTCTCAGTATAAAATGAGATATACAACAATAACCAGTTAAAAATGATTTAAACAAATGATATTATGAGTGATAGACAAAGCAAAGAGTGCTCACCAAAGCCATTTGCATGTATAGGCATACAGATTTACAGTTTGTATGGGGAACTACAGTGTAGTAAGGAGAAAATGCATTTCTCCTTATTTCTTCCCAGCTAATTGTTCCACTTTCTTTTTTAGACTGAACAGAGAATTGAACCAGTCAAACGAGCAGCACACAATGTGCACAAGAGGCTTGTGGCTTGTCTCCAGGGACAATATGGGGCAGAACTGGACAAACGGGTGGTAAATCTCATTTTTCTTTTCTTTTTTGCGGTTCTTTCTGGATCTTAATTCACAATATGGGAGGCACATTTTTGGTGCTTTATGCTAGTTCTCAATTATAAAACATATTTCTTTCCCCATCTCACCTATTTCAGAAGTTGACACTATTCTACACTGAGAAAAAAAAATGCAATAGGTCCACAGTAATTTATGCCTACAATTTTTTCCTCTCCATGATTTCTGCTTCGGGTGCTGATCTAGATTGTAATACAGGAGTTTTATCTCCTACTTTGCTATTGTATAGCTCCTAAGAAATTTGGGTATTAAAATTGTCTAATATTAATCCACAGTTCTATCTGTAGCATTTATGCTAGGATTTGGGAGACTCCTTAAAATAGCCTTCTAGTATCTGATATCCTCTGGATACATTGAATTAAACTCCAATAATCTTCAGCCAATATTATCATTAGGTAAGCTGGCTAAAAATTATGGAAGCCATATTCTCATTGATCTATTGGTGTGAAAAGTCCATTCTAAGATATCAAAGGAAGAAGTAGAGAAGGTATCCTGGAGATTAACATGCCCTGTGGATCATAATCAGTATTCAAAGTAATATGTCATTGAATCCAATTATTGGATTTTGCCCATGGAGAGATACAACTAGGTATGGATATTTATATCCATACAGATTTTATAATCAGTTTTGGAATTAAATACGGGCGAAGCCCAAATTTCTTATTTCTTGTTTTTCTTCAGTACCTCATTTTTGCTTTTTTAAATACAGCAAATATATGGAAGGGAGGAAGGGAGTACACTAGGCAATTACCCTTTTTGAGACTAAAATACTATACAGAACTTTTATGATAATAAAAAAATAGGAGAGAATAATAACAGACTACCTGCATTCCTTTGAAGAATAGTAAAATAAAAATTATAAAAAAGCAAGATAATTCATTAATCAAGCTTTATAACTATTTAATTACTTTAAGTAATTACTTGTCTACTTTAGACCAGTAATACTTTTGTACTTCATATTCTTTAGAAATATTGTTTTCATCTTCTTTTTTCTAGCTAGAAGAAACCAGAAGATGAAGCAATGAATCTTTTTCAGTTTGTTCTTATTTTATGTCTCTAGCTTCTGACTGAATACAGTAAATCCAGAGTACTAATCACCAAGTTCAACTAGCCAAGCTATGGACATTTTTTACAGCTCCTCATGGGTGCAGCCAGTAGGAGAATGCAGGCATATTTGCAGGCATCCAGCCAGATACAGACTTTAGAATAAGATATAAATTGGCCCATAGTAGCACCAATACTAGTCTGTCTTAAAATCCATGGTATATTTATTTGTGTCTGTGCCTTATTATGGAACCATCAACAACATTTTAAGATGCTAATCTTAAACTTTAAATCAGTTATGTCCAATCATGTATCCTGCCTAACCTATTTCATTTTTAAAAATACACCTCTACCCATTTCTACCACCATTTGCATTCATAAAATTTTTCCACTTGACACTAATTCATATTCTCTGACCTATATCTTGGCCTTTTCATTCATAGGATCACTAATTTAGACATTGCCTGTAAGCCAAACTACGGTACTGTTATTCACATTTCACTAACTATCAGATATCCCAGTATATACACACATACTGCCCTCAGGATTCAATGAATTATCATTGTCAAAAAAAACCTAATATTACATTAAGATAAGGTATTGATGGTGAGAAACAGTTATTATTACCTGTTAAGCCAATAGTAAAGAAACAGAGGAAAGTTATATCCCTATAAGAAACCATAATGTAGGCAAGAAGTTAGAGATTTAATAACTGTAATTACCAACTATTAGCTGGTATAGCTATTTTCCTTGTCTGTTCATTTTCTTACTTTTTTCCACAGAAAAGGTTACCTTTGATGGCATTATCGGTTGCTATGGCTGAAAGTTTTAAGGAGTTAGACATGAATTCCAGTCTTGGGTATGAATTCTTACATTTTATGAATGAAAGATCATACAGTATTCTTCATAGCTGAAGAACATATAGTCTGAACTTCCTATAAAGTTCATCCCCCCTACGGATTGCAGAATCATATTTTCTTTCTCAATTTGCATTAATATCCTGACTGTTTTCTGAAAACATAAAAATATTATTTTTCTAGAGCAGTATTCTTTCCAGCATCTGTGTAATTAATATTAACCTTAAAAGCCATTCGTACAGAAGTATCTGGCAAGTTGAGTCTCCTCTGTTTGCCTGTCAGTTTTCCTCCACCACATGCCTTTTCTGTTGGCCTTGTATTTTAAGAACCATGCCAACTATGAAATCTGCATTAGACTATATTTTGTACTTCTGGGATAACTTTCTGTCCAGCAAAAGGGTGGTACAACAGAAAGCAGCACAAACACAGAGTGGGTCAAGTTTTCACTGGGTGAAATCCAAGCTGCACTTGGTGGGGGGGGGTATTTGTTTTGGGGGAGTTTTGGGGGTGACGTCATGACAGTTTTTGACTCCTAGTGATTACCTGGACAATCCTTGAAGTTTCCTTGGTAAGATATCAGAAGTGGGTGCCATTGCCTGCTTCCTTAGGGCTAAGAGTGTGTGATTAGCCAAAGGTCAACTAGCTTGCTTTATGCCTAAAATGGGACTAAAACCCATGGTCTCCTGGTTTCTAATGTACTGCCTTAATCAGTACACCAAATTGACTCTTACACTTCTATTAGCAAAAGCCAGTTCTGGGTGTTGAGTGGGAGGAAGGCCGTTTCCCTTTCCTCTTGCACAGGCTTGCACATGCCTTCAAATCTGATTCAGAGAAACTCTTATTCTTCCAGAGCAATTGTAAGAATACACAGGAGTGACATGAAGAAGAGAAAGTCTCATCACCCAAGTGCAGATCTGCTAGTGCAGCTTTAAATTCTATTGATCATCACTTAATAGGCACTATTTGCCCTGCTAGCATTCCCTTGGTTTCCTCTGTGCAGTGCCACAAAAAGAGCAAAGGGCACACTTTTTATCAGTAACAGGCACACCAAGTCACTAAAAACAAAGTATTTTTTTAGAGCTAATCCCACAAGTAATATATGGATGTTGCATTACTGTTATCAACTGAAGCTGAGCCACAATGACTGTTCAGCCTACCTGAAACTGCAGAATAGTCTTTGGAGTTTATCAGTGTCAAATACATGTGTCTGCTACTCAACAAGCATTTTATTTAGAAAATGAATATCAGGAATGAAGTTATTGGTTGCATAAACTGTCTTGTATCTCCAATCATCCAGGTAATTCCAAATTCTGGCGAGTATTTCTTTGGGAATTGTGCTCAGGTCTCCGTCCTTTATCCTTTTCAGTTGGAATGAGTTGTGATTTTTACCCCTTTTAAACTAGATTGTTCAACTGCTTATTTTTACTTTTAGTGGTCCTATATATCCTCTGGGCAAAAAGATAGGATACATATCACAGAAATTAAAGTATACCTAGTAATAATTGCAGAGCTTAGAATTTGTGGCAAATTAATTGAAGAAAAAAACAATTTTCCCAATTTGATGCTCTTAATTCCCATTGCATATGACTTGCAATGCAATATATCTAGAAAATGCTGGATATGGGAAGAAGCAGCTGTTGAAGGATCCAAACCAGGACTCTGGAAGCAAAAGAAGAACAAACATACTGTATGTTAGTCCCCAGAGGTATTATGGTAGATTGATACTCTTCACCTTCCAAGTCAGGTTTTCAACTCTTTCTTTCTTCTTTGTTTCTAGGAAAGCTCTAGAAATGAGTTGCTGTATTGAAAGCACCCTGGCCAGGATCCTTGCAGAGTTTGAAATTACTCTCGAACAAGAAGTCCTACAACCCCTGAATAAACTGAGTGAGGTATCTTTAATCTCAGATCAAATCAAATCAAATCAAATCAAATCTTTACTACAGTCAGAAACCAGCAAAATATTTCATTTCTTTTCTCTTCACTCCTATTTCCATGTTTACTTAACCTCAGCATTATCAGAATTTGTCCAGCCAGAGTGCAATTCATGCAGTAAACTGTGGTTAAACGATTGATGATGGAATGCTTCAGGAACCCAGCCACATAGCCCTTCCTAACAAATGGGCAAAAGCTGCTGTAACTTAGGAGCTATGGGGACTTTGACTATAATGTTCATTTACAAGAAAGAACAAAATTAAAAGGTTGTTTAAATTTTGTAAGGCTGCTCACAACTATAGTTAAGGGTCAATATGCATTGGAAATAACTATCTTGCAATGCTTGACTTTCTAACTTAAGCAAAATCAGGAAACTGGCATTTCCTGTCAGGGTGACAGAAGAAAGACTACTAACTGCTTCTGCTGTTCAAATGTAAGAAAAGTATAGTAAGTAAGAAGCCACCCTAGGCCTCGGGAGAGTCAAACCCATTCTCAGTTACTGGAAGCTCACTGAATATACCAATCACTGTTTCTCAACTCAGCATTCTTAATGGAATGATTGTTGTAAGAAAAATTGGAAGAAAGACTACTTTCTTACTCCCTTGATCTCCTGGAGGAAAGGCAGGATATAAATCTATCAAATAAATAACAAACCTGGTTATGGTGAAAATTCTTGCAAGGGCCATCATAATATTAAAGTCAGAAAAAGAATAAAATGGGCAGAAATCCTGGAAACATAAGAAATAGGCTATTTTATGCGGATTAAAAACAAACAGGATCTTAATAGCATTTCCTCACTAGTCACTGAAAGCATTTTCTAGTGGCATTCAGCCATTACTGAAGTGATATAAAGCTTACTATTATAGTTGGTCCCACAGTCAGCCAGATGTTTAAACTGGACTTGGCATTTTTATATACCTACTGAGTCCTTCCCAAGGACCCAAGATAGGCAGGAGTTGTTGTTTAATAGTTAAGTACCGTTGCAGCATATAACCTGTTCCAAGTGAAGCTGCCTTTTGCAATTAACTCATGGTGATTTTTGTCAAGGCCGATGGTGTACAAGTGGTGCTGCAGATGTTTTGGGATTGCACCCAAGATGCCTATTACTATTGGTATTATTTTTGCTTTTGTTGTTTTTTTTCTACTGTTATTCTACTTTTATTTTGTAGGTCTTTGGATTTTCTCCAGTTCTTTCTTTTTTCTTTTGCTGCCTCTAGGTACTGCCATATCCACCATCCAGACTTTTTTGTCTTCCTTATCAACAATTGTTAAATCTGAGGCATTATATGGCAGGTGCTTATCTGTCTGAATTCTAAAGTACCAGAGTACTTAACTTCTTCATTTTCTATTTGCCTATTTTGTGCTGCTACCAGTTCTTACTTGCAAGCAAATGATATTTCTTGAAGGTATTGCAAAGTATCTTTATTACCATTATGTCTGGCCATTATACTTCATTATTATTGTGGTTGCTCACATAATAATATGACAGTCAAATGTTTAGACTGGATCTGGCATCATTATCATTAGTATTATTATATCTGGATGTATCTAAAGACCATTGAAAAATTTATTAGTTAAAAGTTACTGATGCTTATGGGAGCTGAGGCTAGTGTGAACCGTCCCTAACTCCTTCATTCCAACCTTTTCTAGGAGGAGCTGCCTATCATCCTGAAACACAAAAAGAACCTTCAGAAACTTATTTTGGATTGGAACATCATCAAGAGCCGGTATCGGGGAGATGTAATGAAACAGAAAAATGGGGAGGGCTCAATGAAATCTTTAAAAGGGAGTGATGGGGAAAAGTCTCTTGAGATGGAGCATGTTTTGCGGGGGGGGGGGTTGTGTTTTTGATAACATCACCTTGGCAACAAGACCTCCATCATCCAAAGCCTTAAAGCACTGACTAATTTAGCATCCTAGATTATAATTTTCTTAGATTTGAAGTTTAGGTTTAGGTTTGTGTGAACTAGCCACAATGGTTTCTAAATGATGGTTTAAGGCTTATGATATATTGCAATCACTGTCAACTGAAAGAAGCTGTTTATTTGGACAAAATACAGTTTAGTACTTCAAAAGTACTTCAAATCTTTAAGGTATCATTTTTTAATCTATTACCAGATATACTGTACTGTACTTCCTATTACTCAGTCAGCATGGCCAGTGGCATATTATAGTCCTCATTTAATGACTGCAATTGGTACCAGTAACTCCATCAATAAATGGCATGGTCATAAAATGAAATGTCATCTAAGCATATTGACTTACAGAAGTTGGCAACTGCAGTTGTTAAGTGAATCATCCTCAGTCGTTAAGCATGATGTAATATGATTGTAACTTGCAACTTTCTACAGGCTTCCCTATTGACTTTATCAGAAGCCAGCTTTGAAGTTCTCAAATAATAGTCACGTTGGGGATCAGTTATAATAGCACTGTCACGTTGAATGATTGCAAACCAGCAGTTGTTAAGTAAGGACTACCTGTACTGATATTTAAGAGATGCCAGGTTGGGGAAAGCTGCACAAATAGATGATCCCTTACATGCCTGTTCAACTGTATTTCAATTTGGGAGTCCCACTTTCCATATGTCTTATATTACTATTTGTTTTCCATGCTGACTTGCATAAATTATTTAATGTTTCTAAGCAAATGCATGGATTAAGGAGAGGCAATTGCTCAGTGGTAGAACTCCTACTTTGCATGTAGTACATCTCAGCATCAACACTTGCCATTTCCAGATTAGACAAGAAAAACAGCTGCAAATGTTAGATAATTGCCATTAATCCATGTCAGTAATAGGAAACTAAATTCTCAAGGCTGTTAGAAATGGCTTTCATGTTCTTAGATGTCTTTTCAGTTAGTAACTGCTTGCTATCATATTCACATCAGTAAAGTGTTTCACTGCTATGCTTGCTAACTGAAAAAATAAACCATATTCTCTTATATTGCATAAGGGCCTATCTGGTTTTAGCCTCCATAAATCCATCATATACTTTAGTATCATAAGGTCAAAATATTAATGTTTAGATTTTTGTTCTGCCTCTTTCAAGTGTACCTCGAAAAAGTAATGTTATTTATGGCATTTCCAGAAGTCCACTATCAGTGCAGAGCAATGGCCATAAAGAGTCATGTTTACATACACAAATGTGACAGAGAGTGTAGCATTGTTCCTCTTTCAGGTTCCCGATTACCAAATTATTTTAATGAAAAGGCCTTCTGCCCAACATTTTCATCTGTGTGTTCAAGTGGATACATGTACTGTATTTTTGGACATAAGAATTGTATGGATATACATACAGATATTGTAATATGAGTGGTATAAATACAAAGCCACTTTACTACTTCTGATACTGTGTTGGGATGAACTAAGGAATAATCAAGATAGAACACATTACTGAGCATTAGAAATAATATGATTAGTTGCAACTTTCCATCTGTAGATAGATATAATTCACATTCCATTTACTTAAAAGAAAGTGACCATCCAGCAATGCCTATAGTGCTCTTATGCTATCCAAGATATGCCAAAGGCTAAAAGGGAAAGTTATTGCCCAATTAATGGCTTGATTTGGAATAATGTTTTATATATATATTAATATTATGAAGGAATCTCTCAAGTGTTCCAATCTTGTCTCATTTTTATTTTTCCTTATTTCTAAACAATGAAAAGAATCAGAAAGATTTCTTCCCATCTCCCCTTTTATTCTTACAACAGTGTGAAATAAAACAACCACAGCCACTCAGTAAGCTTGGACAAGAATTTTTTTATTAGAGTTTGTATCCAAGTGTTACAAGTATATGACAGTGATGTTAGTAGAAGAATAACAACTTCTTGGCTTGTTTTATGTCTTGGGGAAATTAATTTACCTCTTTTATTTTAAAAAAAGGACCTACAAAATTTGTACCATCTAAATTTGGCGATTTATCCTTAAGTTTAGATTGCATGAAATTGCCAAGTTATACAGAATAAATAAACTGGATGGTATTGGTTGTTCACCTATGCAATAAGCTTTCTCAATCAGCCAAGATTTGAACTCAAGCCTCCCTAGTTCTAGACTGGCACTCAAAACATTGCACTACACAAACTGCTGTTAAAACAGTTTGGGCTTCCCACTCCACAGGAAACATAGCATCACATGGATGTCTGCATTCAGAGTTCCAATCTTAGGTCTCACAATAACAGCTCAAACTCTGATTATTAAAAAAATCTTCCATATCAAATGTATCCTATTTCCTAATTTTGAAATACCATCAAATCTTCCTGTTTTTTTTAAATTGCAGTTTAAACCAAGTTGCCAAGAATTCCAGTAACAGTGTCAGTGCTGTCACAACTTCAGGAGCCTCCTCAGCTGCCTTAAAGTTGGAGAATCTGAAGGAGGAGGAAGAGGAGATGAAGAGGAGGGTTGAGCAGAGTAAGGTACTTATACATAGAAACAGCTTGATCAAGAATGTATTGATTTATCTTAGTCCACTCTTCAATTCTGGAATAAAGAAACATATTTGTATAAGAAATTCATCAAGTACAGGAGAGCTGAGAAAATTTTTTAAAATAAACTGGAAAGAATAGAGTGTTGATGTAGTTTCAGATTTATTTATTTATTTATTTATGAGACTTATATACCGCTTTAGGTGCAAGCACTCTCTAAGCGGTGTACACCAGTAAGCAATGTATATGTATATTTACATCGCCCCCAACAATCTGGGTCCTCATTTTACCTACCTCGGAAGGATGGAAGGCTGAGTCAACCTTGAGCCGGTGAGATTTGAACCGCTGACCTGCTGAACAGTCAGCTAAAGTGGCCTGCAGTACTGCACTCTAACTGCTGTGCCACACCTTGGTTGTGTTTAGATTGTCTAGTGATGGAACCAGTCTCTACAATCAATTCTATTGTGTATTGGATAGCTTCCACAAATGAGCTCAAAATGCCAAACTAGTTTCTAATGATTGTCACCCCAAAACCTACCTGATTGCTAAAATAAGACTATTGCAAAACTCCTGCATCTCATTACTCTAGCCTAGAAGTCACCATGGATCTTGTAACAGCTACCAATAGAAGCAAAAGACTTTGTTGATTTCCATTAGCTGTATACATGTATCCTCAGAGCCATGCAGTTACATTCTAGAAGTACACTACAAGTATACTCCCTATCTGTATTAGGAGTTTGTTAATGCTGTAATACAGAGTTTCCCAATCTGGGCAATTTTAAGATGCATGGACTTCAACTCCCAGAATTCTCCAGCCAGTCATGGAAAATTCTGGGAGTTGAAGTCCATATGTCAAGGCTGCCTTGACTGGGAAACCCTGCTGCACTGAATGAATGTCAGGAAATATAATGATGAAATCTTATGCTTATTTTTTCATGATTATGTCAAAGTGTAATATTTCCCAATACTGTTCCAGGATGAATATATGGCTGATTTATATCATTTTTCAACCAAGGAAGACAGCTATGCTAAATACTTTATCAAAGTAAGATTTAATTCCTTTTCTTTACTGCTCTATTTATATTTTGAAAATCACATGTCCTAACTTCTGAAAATTTTATCTCTCCATAGACAAGACTTGTAGGAAAAATACTAATTAGAATTACAATTCTGCTTGCATGTTTCTCTGTGGCAGTTGTTGGAAATCCAGGCAGAGTATCACCAGAAGTCTCTGGAATCTCTAAATTCTACGTTGGCAGAGCTAATGAGTTCTCAAAACCAGTCAGGTACAACTTGAGATGCATTTTTTGGTATGACACATTAGCAATAAATAAATTGCTATTATTCAGCCAGAGCTTTGGGACTATTACAAAGAAAAGGCTGCAAATACAGTATGTGGAACTGAACATTAATACTTTTGGCAGGGACATTCTCTCCTCTGCTTAGATGGGGTCCTTCTTAACTGATGTTTGCATTAACCTGTGGTAGTTGGCTAGAAATGGCTTCGGCCATCAAAAAAAGCCTGATATTAGCCCGGAACAGCAGAGAGGAGATGACTCTGGAAATTAACATTCTTTAATAATAATAAGGTTGGAAGGGACCTTGGAGGTCATCTAGTCCAACCCCCTGCCCAGGCAGGAAGCCCTATACCATTTCAGACAAATGGCTGTCCAATCTCTTCTTAAAGACTTCCAGTATTGGAGCATTCACAGCTTCTGGAGGCAGGTTGTTCCACTGGTTAATTGTTCTCACTGTCTTTAATCTTTGTCCTTTCTCCTCCCTTGTTTAGATGCCCCTTTTCCATTAGATGCAGCTGTACCAGGGGTGTATGGAATGCCATTAGAAACTCACCTAAAGGCTTCTGGGCGAGAGATTGCACTTCCCATTGAAGCCTGTGTTATGATGCTGTTGAGCACAGGTATGCGGGAAGAGGTAGGTGCCCCCCTCTGTCCAGCTATTCATTTGCCATAGACCTTCTGGCTTCTCTCTTATTTTTGTTTCTTCTCTTAGGGGCTCTTCCGGCTGGCAGCTGGAGCTTCTGTGCTGAAGAAACTAAAATACTGTCTTGACAGCGGCTCAAATATTCCGGATGAATTCTACATAGACCCTCATGCTGTGGCAGGTAGGTGATCAGCAGAACTGTACAGATCTTCAAAGAGGCTTTTCAGTTAAATTTGAGTAGAGCAAAGCACACAGTTCTCCCACTTCCAAGCTTCTAAGCAGCCTTACCTTGCTGCTTCACAGGAAAGCAAAGCATTTACTTTGAACATCATTATTTGTGGCATCTTTGCACAGCATAATTCCATCTTTCTCTCAGACAGCAGTAAACAACTTAAGGTTCTTTAGATAGTTTGGAAAACAGTTCCCAAACTCTGGTCATTGGCTACAATATTCATAATATTGAACATTAGACACATACCAGGTAATTTACATCTTGTTTACAGCTAGGCAGTCATACTGTGTCAAAACCATACTTCCTTGCTTCCAGGTGCACTAAAATGTTACTTACGAGAATTGCCACAGCCATTGATGACCTCTGAACTCTATGATGATTGGCTGAAAGCTGCCAGGTGAGTTGGAAATAGAAAAATGGACTTAAGCGCACTATATTTTTTTCAGTCTTCGGTTGAGTTTTATTTATCTGACAAACTAATACCCCCTGGTTTACATTGTAAAAATAGTTATAAAATCTATTTTCTTGCAAATATTAAGAAGACTCACCCAAATTGTTTGGCTTCAGAGAAGTTCAGCCAGGTGCTTCCACCAACTGAGAGTTAAAGAAAGCTGTGGTGGCAAAGTGGTTAGAATGCAGTATTGCAGGCTAATTTTGTCGACTGCCAGCAGTTCGATTCTGACTGGTTGACTCAGCCTTTCATTCTTCCAAGATTGGTAAAATGAGGACCCAGATTGTTCGGGGGCAATTTGCTGACTCTGTAAACCACTTGAAGAGAGCTGTAAAGCACTATGAAGTGGTATTTAAATCCAAGTACTATTGCTATTGCTAAAGAGGATTGCTCCATCCATATCTGAGAAGCCTTAGAGCAGTGCTTTTCAGCCTTTTCACAGATTGTTCCACTTTTAGGACATGACAATATTCCACCAGTGCTTAGCAAGGTGTCAAAAACTTGATGACCAAAAAAAAAAAAAAAGGAAAAAAGTACTGGTTTTAATTTCTTCGGTGGAAATTCCTTTGCTGAATCACTTTCCCTTTGCACTGATAATGTATGATGAATTTATTCATATTTATCAATATGCACACTACCTTGGTGGTCAAGTGACTGGTTGGCCCTTCTTTTTCTCTCCCTCTCCTCTCTCTCTCTCTCTCTCTCTCTCTCTCTCTCTCTCTCTCTCTCTCTCTCTCTCTCTCTCTCTCTGCCTGCTGGGCTTTCCTTCCATAGCCTTTACTCCTTCATTGATCCCTCTGCTCGTCTCACAGAAGCCTCTCCTCTTCTCCCTCTCTTTCTTCGTCCCCTTCTCTTTCTCCGTCATCTTTTTTTTCCTCTCCCTCTCCCGCCAAAACCTCCTCCTTTTATATCCTCTCCTCTCTCCCCCCACCATCTCTTCTGGGTGCGTCGGAAGTGCCAATCAGTATGTAGTCGTGCATGCCAACCCTGAGCTCACAGCAGTCCTGCAGCTCCAACTGATTCTTTCACCCCAAGGCCTTTCTGCTGCTCCCAGTGATAGCAGAGGCTGCTGGAAGCACCTATCAACTGGAGCTACGCACACCGATCCTGCACCCTCAGCAGAGCCCTAGCAACACCACAGTTCCAGCTGACTCTCCCCCAGGCCTGTGTGGCATTTCTGCCACTTCAGCTCATGGCACTGCCGTTGCTTCAGTTCATCCCCCCCACTACACTTCTCTAGGTTGCGTATTACCTGCCAGGTGCCGAAGTACCACCAGTGGTACACGTATCACTAGTTGAAAAGCCCTGCCTTAGAGGATGTAAATGAGAAGAAATACAGCCAGAATCTGATTACATTGTCCTTCACTATTAGGCAATAAGAAATAGTATGAGAAATTCTCACAAGTGCTATGTTCTGGCCTTCCTTTTCTGCCTCAAAAAAAATATTATCACACCCTTTTTTCTTCTTCACTTTTCTTTTTCAGTGCCAAAGAGCCAGACATTCGACTAGAGGGCCTCAAGGATGTTTGTAATCTTCTTCCCAAGGACAACTACAACAATCTGAGGTGTGACACAGCTATACATTTTTAGAACTTTCAAGGATCAATTTTAAATTTTATTATAATATATAATGACATTCTTGAATGTTCGTATTTTTATGTGTTCACTGCCTTAATTCAGAAAGTTGGCTTATAGGCTTACTTAAATGAAGATGTAAAGCTTTTCTGCTCCCTGCCTTTCTGTGATAGGTCAAACATCATCTTTTTGTTCTAGTTGAAATTCAGTAGAAAAACCTTAGAATCCTAAGAAAATCAAGGCATTGAGTTTTGCTTTTACAAAGTACTCTTTCTTTGTAGGTATCTGATTCGTTTTTTAGCCATGCTGGCTGAACAACAAGAAGTGAATAAAATGTCCCCAAGCAACATTGCCATTGTCCTAGGACCCAACCTACTGTGGCCCCAGCAGAATGAAAGGTAAAGTATAGGTGTCTCAGAAGAAACATACTCTGTGTGTTTCATATAGTATATAGTACACATAGTGATGGCGAACCTTTTAGAGACCGAGTGCCCAAACTGCAACCCAAAACCCACTTATGTATTGTCGGGTGCCGGGTGGGTGTGGCCCGTTGGGTGGGCGTGGCTGCGGTGGTAACAGCACCTGGGTGGGACTAAAAAGTTCAATCAATCAATTCCAACTTTGCGAGATCTTTTTTTTCCACGAGAAGTTGAAATTGATTGATTGATTGAACCTTTTTTTTTTTTTTTTGCACACAACAGCAGAGGCCTAAAGTGAAAAGGTTTTATAAAACCCAGCTGAAGGCCCAGGACTGGGGCAACGGTGCATGTGCCCACAGAGAGGACTCTGCATGCCACCTGTGGCATGCGTGCCATAGGTTCTCCACCACGGATATAGTATATTCAATAATGAATTATTGAGAAATACCTCACGCATTCTATCTATGTAATATGTTGTACCAAAAATGATAAATGTTACTCTCTTCCAAGCTTGGTACTATGCATCAGATGCACTAAATTATAATGTTCATTACTCCCTAGTTAATAGCATTACTGTTGGGAATTGTAGCACAAAACAACTAGGGACCCATAGGATGGATAAAGGAAGTAATCTAGGGCAAATTCTTTTAAAACTGGGAAACATTTGGAAAGTGCAACTTTTTTCATCACTACAACAATGTGATTACAGCAGTTTAATTTTTGCGGTTTCAATGTTCCTCATTAAGAGACCTTATTGAGAACTTTTTTTTTATTTGCAATATAGAGAAGAAAGTCTTAATTTCTTTTTCAGCCATGCCAAACCAGTAAGTGGCTTGTAGTTTAAGCAGATACATAAACAGATCTCCTTCCCAACTCCCATGCACAGGTTCAGCTATCCAAGAATTAGATATAAAGTAAAAAGTTGTAAATAACTTCATAAATAATTAGTTAAGCTATTAAATAATTCCTTGCCTAAAGTAATGATACTGTCAATATATTCCTTATAGAATATGTCTGTGTATGTAACTGGGTAATTTCTACTTTAATCAGTGGCAGTAATTTCTCCTAGTTGGCAGTCTTTTGTAGCTAGTGGAATACTGCTGGCCTTCCTCCAATCAACTTCTGCCTGTGGACATCTGTACAGAGCATGCATGATCCTATGTCACATCCTTCTCCATCTTTGGTGATCTTCCTATTCACCTTGGAACTCTTTGGCAATCTTCCTCAGTCCATCTTGGAATCTGCACTTCTTCACCAATCAAAACTACCTAAATCCTACTTAGTTTGACTATTATCAGCTTCTTCTGTATCTCTCCAGCCACAGCTCCAAAGCAGCTGTCAGACTTTTAACTGTCTTCAGTTTTTTGTGTAACTGCCAGCTCTCCTAATGTGAGAAACTGTGTGTGCGCTTGTGTGTGAAATATTTATTTCTTTCACTCTATATTTTTATATAGCATTTCTCAAGCTTCTCAAGAAATAAAAGAAACTGAATGGGCATTCCCTGCCAAAATGAAGGGGGGAAATCCAGTTGCTTCCCCCCTTAAATCAGTTAATATCTTTCAAATTAGGTTTTTATCCGTTCTCTAGAAAACACACATGAACAGCAGTGCTTTCAACCTAATGTTCTGTTCTTAAAGTTACCAACCAGAAACAGATGGGAATCCTTATGGAAGACATAACTGCATGCCTTCCTACACATTTTCAGGAGCAATCAATACTGAGATATATTTCCTATTTTCAGGGAATTAATATATATCAATATATATTCTAACAATGATAGCTTTATCCTATCACCTCCTGTTTAATACCACATAAATATAAAAAGCAATCACCCAGATGGAGAGGATAGTATTATTAAATTATTTATGTGCACTTGTTGTAATCAGGTTAAATCTTATTAGATGTTCAGAGATCAAGCAGAAGAGTAATATTTATATGCTGACATGTTGGTGAAGCATACCTGTAAAGATAAGCAAGGCAGATTAGGGCAAATATAGGAGGTGGCTTCAGAATCTGCTCAGTGTTGTTCTTGGCTTCTTTCTCCCAGGTCTCAAGTGCAGCTAGACATAGCTTCTGCATCCTCCATCCAAGTTGTGGGAGTTGTGGAACCTCTCATACAAAATGCTGAGATCCTCTTTCCAGGAGGTAACACAAATTCTTTTTTCTAAGGGCAAACTGGACTCTTCCACACAGCTTCTAAGCAGATACATGTAGTTGGTATCAAGTTGAAAAGGATGGCTTAGGGAGACTGGAAAATGGAATTAGTAAATGATTCTGTGAATTCATTAGTCCCTACAAAAAAGAAATTGCTTTATGGAGTAATTATGCATTGCAATAATATCATTCATGTACTGTATTTCTCTTTGCCATGCAAGTTTCAATAGCAAGAGTTTTGCTATCCAGTGTTACAATAAGAGCTGCAAAATGTGTGTGTGTGTGTGTGTGTGTTTGTGTGTGCGCGCGCGTAGGAGTTCTTAATCTGTGCTTCTTTGGAGCAAATAAAATATATAATTTATATAAATAATGTTTAATATTTAAAAATGAGGTTCTTTATAAAGGTGAATAGAGAGATGGGTTTAAAAATATTTCACACTTTTAAAGATGTAGGGATAAAAAATTAGTATATCTGAGCCGTTTTTGGGGAGAACTCAAATCAATGTGAGATGCAGAAGCTGCATGTGGATGATTTTTATCAGGTATGTTTTATATGTAGTTACCAACTCTTCTCAAAGGAACCTCCAAGGCACTTCATTAAATTATGTGTTGAATGTCATCATGGTATTTCAGCCAAATGTATTACCTTTCTCCAGGGCTAAACCTGGATCCTAGAGTGGTGGTTCTCAACCTTTTTAATGCCGTGACCCCCAACCACTCGTAAGTCGAGGACTACTCAACTGGTTGTAAGTCGAGGACTACTCAACTGGTGCAGCACCGTTTGCAGAATGGGACTTTTGGCGGGCTCAGCAGGGCAGAGACAGCCTGGACAATTCCTATTGGCTTTTGAAAGCCAATAGAATTAGACTCTATTCAAGAGAGTCTATTCTATTGGCTTTCAAAAGCCAATAGAATAAAAGGGAGTAGCACAGCTAAGGAAAAGGGGGAAAAATGGCGGACTGTTTTGTTTGGCGACCCCCGTGAAATGGTTGTTCGACCCCAAATGGGGTCCCGACCCACATGTTGAGAACCACTGTCCTAGAGGGAGGTGCTTTCTTAATCAAAAAGCAGATAAATGAACAGATAGTGCCTTTTAGCAATTTAAACACCTAGCTCTTGGCATTAACTTTTAAGGGCTTTGGAGGGAAGAGTCACAGATTTCTGACTTTTAGCCAGGCTGTCTCTTCTTGACTTTGCATGAATTGACTATTCTTAATAAAGCACTAATAAATCTTATGAGAAAGAAAGATGTGGAAGAAATCAGAGATGAACCTTCTGCTACTAGAGATAATTGCAGAACATTATAATAGCTTTTAGACAGACTATCTCATGCATTTTTTTTCTTTTTTCCTTGAGATATTAACTTCAATGTCTCCAGTCTGTTCACTCCTCCATTAGACATCAAAAATCAAAACATCCTCACAATAGAAGAACCTTCAGCAGTGTTTCTGCCTTCTGAATCTAATTCCCCTATGCCTGAAGAAAGGTATACATAGACAGCTATGCTCCTTATCAGTTTGTACTCCTCCCACCCCAGTTTCAGTTTAAAAAAAAAATTTCACTCAGCCTTCCAGCTAGAGTGATATCCATTTGAAGATATCTTCTTCTGTTGGGCTTGTCTGGTCCAAGTCTGATTTCAGAATAAAGAACGGGGTATTGATAAAACCTACCAGTCTTCCTCTGTACCATATCAAAAGTTATGCTAAAATGAAATTGGACCATGACTGGAAAATTGTTTCTAGTTTGGAAGATTAATTTCTGGAAAATGGCTGGTCCAGGATGGCTAGAACAGTGTGGTCCAAAGGAGAAATGGAAGGTGTTGCACTTTCCTACCAAGAATGTTGTGAATAAAAAGACCATGAAAGTATTCATCTGACTTAGCATCTGGACAGCAGCATAAATATACATACAGAGCATGTGGTCACAGTTGCTCTAATATGGATTGAATACATTGTGCTTTTTTCAGTTATATCTGTTCCTCAAAAGAATTGTAGCAAAATGTTTCAATTAGAAAACATGGAACTTCTGTTATCCAATTTTTATTGAGATACAGTTCTTTTTAGTGATGCAATGTGCCCATTTACTTCCTATCACAACAGGACACTGCTGCAGTTTATTTAATACAAGGGTATCAAACTCCAACATCACGTGACGTGTCATGACATATCGCAACTTTTTTTTTCCATTGCCGGCAATGGGGTGGGCACAGTTTTGGCATGATGCATCCAGCCCATGGGCCGTCAATTTGACACCCCTGATTTAATACAATAGTTACAAATAGACCAGGTATAAGTCTAAACCTTGCTTAATAAAACATTTGTAAAAATAATAAAGGGGGAATCAAATAATCACTATACCTACAGTAACATACTATACATAAGCTACTTATCTTACAGCTTAACATAATGATCTGCTTTATATCCTACTCTAAGATGATGGCTGGGTTTCTAATAAAAACCTAACCAATCATAAGCTACTCTGTTACTTTAGCTTGCTCTGGTATGTGCTGCTTGTGCAGCCATATTGTTGATGCTTACAGGAAAAACACTCCAGAGAAGGCGGCTTTCTCCAACCATCATTATGAAACAGGATATGATTGTATGCATTTTAACCTGACTTTGTACTAACACTGTGGTGACGAACCTAGGGCACGTGTGCCACAGGTGGCACACAGAGCCCCAGTCCTAGGCCTTCAGCTGGGTTTTATAAAACCTTTTTGCTTTAGGTCTCCGCCGCCGTGTACAAAAAAAAAAAGGTTCAATCAAGTTCAACTTCTTGCGGGGAAAAAAAAGATCTCACAAAGTTGGAATTCATTGATTGAACTTTTTAGTCCTATCCAGTCTGCCGTTACCACCGAAGCCATGCCCACCCAATGGGCCACGCCCACCCAATTGACCACACCCACCCAATGGGCCACGCCTACCCAGCACCAGGCAATACATAAGTGGGTTTTGGGTTGCAGTTTGGGTACTCAGTCTCTAAAAGGTTCGTCATCACTGTACTAACAAGTCAGTAGCATATAAAAAGCAGGACTAATAGTCCCTCCCTCAAGCCTACATTAAAAAATAATCCCAAAGAAAAACACATTAGGAAAAGAGAAAAGAAGAAAACATAACTTGGGAGCCAGTTTTTATGACTTATTCTTCTCTGGAATGCACAAAGCAAATTTCAGCATTTCTTCACTGCTCAGTGAAGGGAATAAAAACTCCACTGTAATCTTCCTGGAATACAGGGGAGCCACTATTTTAGTGGTTTGTGGTTGATATCAAAGGATTAAAAATGGAAAGTATCTCTGGAATTTCTCTGTATACTAATTGCTTTTGGAAGCCTACAAATGAGAGTTTATAAGACTTTTCCACATTGACAGGAAAAAATCTGAAGTTATTCCAGAAACAGTGTCCTCAAAAGTGACCCAGTCTTCTACTGAAACAACAATCTGCCCACCTACCTCTCCTGCTGATGAGACCTCACGAAAAAGTAAGTTTCATAGTACTACCATAGTAATCATTGACACCAGCTGCCAATGTTCCCAAATCACTGCATGTTTTGAATTTTCCCACAATGCATTTATGTGTTATATATAGTGTCCTCACAAGTTCTAATTTTGTGTTATTAAAAAATGCTTCAAATGGGATTGTAGCAAGATACATTCATTAAATACAAGACAATTGTACTATTTTGTATTATGAAAGCATTATTTGTGGCATGGGAGATTCAAAAGGTTTTAGTTGTGCAATCGGTGTTCCTTAGAATTTTAGACAGATCTGATGATAACATTTTATACTGATACTTAAGGAGTAATGGAATAGTGGCACAATATATTTTGATTGACAGAGTTGAAAGCTATCTGCTTGGAAATATGCAATGACATACTACTTGTTGGCTGTATTATTCTGTTTACCATCATATCATTCTGCTATTCATAACTGTCTTTTGTTTTACTGTCATGTTCAGAAAATTCATAGCATAGTCAAGGATAACTAACTAGAGCATAGCTCTGTATGTGCTTTGAAGTGACAAGACTAGATAAAATAGAGGGAAACATATATAGAAAATTCATACTGCAGTTTGATAAAGTTGGGCATAATCTTATTGTACAGATTTCAGATTTCAGTTTATCCACAATTCTGGTATTGTTAGGAACCACCTTTTGCAGTTAACCACATATAAATAACACATATCAAAACCCAGCATTTTTAGAAAATTTTATTTCAAGTTTAAGAAACGGATACAGAGAAAGTACATAGAAAGAAAATAGTTAAAAGAGAGTTTTATATCAAATATGCCAGCGTTTTTCTGGATTCATGTAAAGCTGAGATCCAGGAGTAAGAATAAAAAATGTCTAAAATATGGGTTTTTTTCTTTCATTCTCCTTTACAGCAAAGCGGGTGGCTCCACCTAGACCTACCATGCCTCCACCCCATCCTCAAACCACACCGCTTGTTCACCTTCACATGCCCCCTCCTTCTCCAGAGTCTGTCTCCATCCCTAAAGCCTTGCCTCGAAGAACAGTAGGGGGACCAGCACGAGCTCCAGTTGTGCCTCCCCCACTTCCTCCCCAGCCAGCCAGAAGGCAGAGTCACAAAGCTCCGCCATCACCTAGGGCTCCTTTAGAAGCCATGAACAATAAGGCAGCTGCAGCTGAAGAGGATTCTACTAATGACTGCAGTAGAGAAACTCCCAAAGATTCCATCCATACAAAGAAAGAAGCCAATGAAGAAAAAATCAGCTCTCCATCTGCTGCTGCTCAGAAAGTAGAAACTCTGGAGAATGTTTGAGAGGAAGAGTTTTACTGGCTTTGCTTTTGCCTATCCAATTTGTTGCAATTCTTTTCGCACTGGTATTTTGTTAAATGTTCCGCAAATGCATCAAGGTGCAAGGGTCATGTCTCTTGGGACCCTTAGGTATGGTCTATTTAAATCAAACTCCCCCCCCCAACCCCCCCCCACAAAATAGAAAACCCTCTCCTCCTGTTTACAAACATTAGAGCATCAGTCAGTATAGGATGTCCTTCATGCAATATTTGAATCCAAGCCCTGTACAGGAGCAGTGGTCTGATACAACATACTTCACTTTCCTACGATTCTGTTATCAGTCTATAAAGCACAAAATAGCTTTTCATTAATAGTACTCTGCTTTTTTTATTATTTTTGTGGAAGCTTCTGAATAAATGTTAAAAGAAGATAGATTATGTTGTCTTCTCTTTATTGCAGTTATGCCATACATCTTGCATTAATCCTATCTATGAGAATTATACTTACCCTTTTAAAAAGTGGTTATTTTGTTGGAGAAACATTTTATCTATAACTCAATTTTAAGAATGTCTCTAGTTCATGTAAGATGATCCAAATAGTTCATATAGGCAAAAGGCAAATCAAAGAAACTGTGTATCAATTTTGCCTGTATCAAAGATAAATACAGCTCTTGTTTTATTGAGATAAAAGGTGTTTTTTAACATTATAAAGTCTAATAAATACATTGCCAATGAATACCCTTATCAATTTTCACTTTTAAGAACTGCTTCAAAAACAAAGGAAAGGATAGGCAAATAAAATAAAATTGCAATTGAAAGGCAATATATAACTTTTGGTAAGAAAACAAATACACTGTAATAGACAAGAAAGAGCATAATAAAAATCCTGGGTCATACATGACACACAGAGAAAAAAAAAGAACAAATGCAGCAAGCATTCATGCTGACACAATAAAAATGGGCCCATCAGAAGCAGCTGAAGAGTTCAAATCCCTAGCCTTTCCTGGAGAACAATATTTTTTCTGCATGCTTTAAATGGCTAGAATGTGCTTTCAAGCTTTATTTCCCAACCCTGTACCTATGTCAGGCACGAAAGACCAGGTCCACACACAAAGGTCCAATTAAACAGATTTATTGCTAAACAGCCTATGCACAGAAATCTTCTCAACTAATGGTTAGCACCTGTTTGGAGTTAAATAAGGGTCCATGGAATTCAAGGGAAGTTGGACTTAGTCCATTTGTGACTAAGTTGAGAGTCTAGGCTGGTTCTTCTGTTAACTTCATCTGTAGGCTTTGCCATTTCTTTTCCTACATGCTGTCACCTTGTTTTTTATTCTTTTCACAGAGGAAAAAGTAGGAAAACAAGTGAACGCAGTATCTCAGGCAATTCTCTTAATTTCTATAGCATCTGGCATTTACCCTCAACCAGCTTCTTGAATACAGTTTGCCAACAGGGGGCTTTCTAAAGGTAGCAAGAATAGCTTCCATGGAAGAAAATGGAATCAGTATTTTGCAGTACTTGAACAGGTATACTATTTTGTTCAGCACAGGAGTCACATATATGCGATGGGCACTATTTAAATCAGATGAGGACAACAATGATAGGACAGACATACATAGGTAGGTAAGACTAGGATATAATTTCCTATAAGGCAGTGTTTCCCAAACTTAACAATTTTAAGGCATGTGGACTTCAACTCCCAGAATTCCACAGCCAGCGTTGCTGGCTGTGGAATTCTGGGAGATGAAGTCCTCATGCCTTAAAATTGTCAAGTTTGGGAAACACTGCTATAAGGTAATGTCCTTCTGTACCAGAAAGTCCACATTCTGGAGAGAGGATCATTGGTTTGAAAGAGGAGTAAAAGAGGCCATTTATGTTAACACTGAGCAGCCATTTCTCAACAGAGGAGGAGAAGACACCATTTTATCTCCTGTCTACAAGGCAAACCCTGCAGCAAAACCCTTCTCCAAAAGAAGATTCCACCCCCACCACCCCCATCTGCACTCTGATACAGGTGACCCTGAGGGCACAGATAAACCCTCCAAGGGGCCTCAAGAGCTCTCAGGGAGAGGGCTAACGACCAGAGAACAGCAAAGAAACATGATCCCTCCACCCCACCCCAATCCTGTCAGAACTAATCCTTCCATCCCATCCCCACCCCCATTCTGCCACAACCGATGAAACTTCTTCGATGAGAAGCGAAACGTCCTCCTCAAGAAAAAACAGTCCAGTTGCCTTTCGATAAAGCACCTTTGAGATAACCATGACCTGGACGAGTGACCATCTCCACAGACATCCCTCCGTACGGCACCGGAAGCAACCCGCCGAAAACCGCTCCGTCCTCAGGTACTCCGCCTCCTTCCGCACTCAGGGCCTGCAATAGGTTCTTCTAACCATCCATCTTTTCTCTCACCAGGTTCTTTATTCTGTTGCCTTTAAGCTCCACTCGGGTTTTTTTTTTTTTCACGGTCCGTAACGTGAGTTTTTCAAACGTTCATTTGTAAGAGCCTTTATCCTTCTATCGAACAGGTTTGCAACACGTGCCACTTTATTTTGACCCGCCTCTTCCTTGTTTTCTTCTACCAATGGGCTGAAGCTACAGGGGCGGGGGAATACTACTTTACCCCTACCGCTCCTCAGTTAGAAAGGAAGACGAGCGCCCCCTTACGGGTCTTGCTTAGAACGCCCTCTTGTATTTTCTTTCTTTCTCGCTTGTAAACCGGTTGTCATGGAGCAACACGGCCCGCCCCGCTTTTAGCACTTCGGGCGAATACCCCAGCCTTCCCCTTTTAATGCATTCACCGTACCAGCTCCTGTGATTGGACGACGACTCTCAGATCTTCCCTGTTTCGTTCTAACCGGGTCGAGCCCCCGGCTCTTCAGGCATCTGATTGGTACTGTTTCCTTAGTCCGTCAAGGGAACGACGCGCTTCTGATTGGCTGCGTCGCCGCGAGGAGGACGGGGGGCGGGGCGGCGAGTGCGGTTCCAGCATGGCGGGCTGCATGCGGCTGAGCGGCGCTTGTCTGCGCGAGGTGCTGGGCGAGGCGCAGGGGCTGCTCTTCGACTGCGACGGGGTCCTGTGGACCGGCGAGCGGGCGGTTCCGGGCGCGCCGGAGCTGCTGGAGCGCCTGAACCTGAACGGGAAGACCACCCTGTTTGTATCCAACAACAGCCGCCGCTCAGTGGCCGAGCTGGAGCGTCGCTTCTCCCGCCTTGGCTTCCGCGGCGTCCGCGGCGAGCAGGTGTTCAGCTCCGCTCTCTGCTCCGCGCTCTACCTCCGCCAGCACCTTCTGGGCGGGGAAGCTGGCGCCGGCGACTCGACCCCGGGCCGCGTCTGTGTGCTGGGCGGGGAAGGGCTGCGCGGGGAGCTGCGCGACGCGGGGCTGCGGCTGACCGGAGGAGAAGAAGAAGGGGACGGCGACGGAGAGGCCCTCCCGGTGCGCGCTGTCGTCGTCGGCTACGACGACCAGTTCACCTTCGCTAAGCTCTCCGAGGCCTGCGCCTATTTGCGCGACCCGCGGTGCCTGCTGGTAGCCACCGATCCAGACCCTTGGCACCCGCTTAGCAGTGGGCAGCGCACCCCGGGTGAGTGAGGGCGGCGAGCCGAAGGGCCCAGGCTCTGGAGCCCCCTGGCTAGCACCGGGTGGGCGCTGAGGCCCAGTGGCGTCGCCCTGCCCTCGGCCTATTGGGTCTGTGCGGTAGAGGACGCAGCCCAGGCTTAATCCTGCGTTTCCAGAAACTAAGAAAAGGGGTAGAGAGAAAAAGCGGTCAACCATGCAAATTGCTCATATAATCTGGGTAGGCTTACTGAAAGGCTGAGGAATGGATTTTCACTTGTTATGTCATCTATTCTGGTCTTTGATATCTTGTTTTCTGTACAGTTTAATAAATGTCCCATAATGAGATTCAAAATGACTAATATTTCATTCAAATAACAGCATACAGTATAGAAGTACACTCCATAATTTATTTGAAGAATCCTGATGTGCTGAGCAAAGCTTTGACCAGATCAAGGTAGTGTGAAATCAAGGAATGTTCTCAAAGTCAAGTATGCCTTTTCCTAAAATGCTGGAGTTTAGCCTTTATGTCACTTTTTTTCATATTTTACTAGCAATAATTGTTGGAATAACAATTGATGTATTAACACTGCCAGTGATCAAATAACCTTGTGGCCGTTCTTGTGTGTTGCTAAGATATGGGTCTGACACAACTTCAGATTTTTTTTCTTTTTTTGATAGCCCTTTTTGCAAACTACCAATAAAATGACTTAGTAAAGTGATTTTGCAAGTAGAAAGTACATGTCTATTAGTCAGCTGCTGCACAGTTCTTCAAATAAGATGAATCAGTATCTGTTTCCCCTGGACCATTGCAAGCAACTCCTTTTAGAGCTTTATGAGTTTTAAGTTATTTTTGTGGAATTTATAATTATTCCTGCACTGAATGAGACATTCTCCATGACTGGTAAGAGAACTGAAAAAAAATCTCAATTGATAAAGATATATCTGAATCTTCATACTTCCTAGTCTTGCCCTCATAAACAGGTTATCTATTCCCCACTTTTTTGGAAAACCTTACTCCAAAGTTGACTGGTTGACCTTAGGTATACATTATTATGAGCAATACTACTGAGAAAAAATTGAAATGTATACTGTATAACTATATATATATAGTAATATATACTTATACTGTGTAATAAAATGTATCCATTCATATCTAACCAGCCTTGAAATGTTACATACTCAAGGGTATCAGTTTCTGAACCAGGGAAAGCTTGTATTTATAAGACCTTGGAATCCATTCCAAGAATTTTCAACCGAGCTGATAGAATTTCTTGGATTATATTATTTGCAATTAAATCTTTAGAATTATGTGAATGTGTTTCACATAATAGTAAAATTAGATGTAAGCTTTCCATTTAAGTGAAGTTAAGTTTACTTAGTCTCACTATTTTGAACCCAAAAGGACCCATTTTATTCATCCTTTATTGGGTCAATTAATTGGGATTACCTAAATATGTCAGGCAGTGCCTGGATTGCGGCTGTTAACGGAGGTCAATCTTTTGATTTGTGGTTGTTTTGTCTCTTCTCTTTCAGGGACAGGGAGTCTCACTGCTGCAGTTGAAACAGCATCTGGTCGCAAAGCAACAGTAATTGGAAAACCAAACACATACATGTTTGAATGCATTGTAGAGCGCTTTGGTGTAGATCCATCCCGCATGCTTATGGTGGGTGATCGGCTGGAGACGGATATACTGTTTGGCAAGAACTGTGGCCTTGATACTGTCTTGACCCTGACAGGTGTCTCATATTTAGAGGAGGCACAGGCTTACATGGCCAGTGACAGCCCTTCAGCTAAGGACCTGGTGCCTCACTACTATGTGGACAGTATTGCAGACTTGATACCAGGCCTCGATGAATAAGGGGGGAAGTGGGTGGGTAACAGTCCTGTTTCCATTCCAGACTGCCAACCTTTCCTCCTCCTGTCTCCCCTCTTGAATCTGAGCTCATCACATTCCAGTGTTTCTTCAAGAATGAAGAGAGTGGAACTAATTCCCCTTTCATTCTTTAAGCTTAATCGGTTTCATTTTAGACACAATAGGGGAGCAGGAAATCTAATGTGAAAAAAATAGGTTGTTTACAGGCCAAACTAGTATTTATTACTATTTTTCATCACAGTAATTATTTATTTAAGTTATTTTTGTTTTATTGTAGCCAATAGTGGTCTCTTACTGTTGGCCTTTGCTTTACTTTGTAGCATACTTTGATGTGCTTGATGTGCTTTTATAGTGTTTGTCCTCAGGCTTAAATATAACCACTGCCATTCCATGCCTGTTTTAAAGTTCTCCAAGAACCTATGCTGTGAAAAGGAAATATCAGAGACATATCCAGAAAATATGACATTGTGCCTCCACAAAATGGTCCTTTGATTTTATTCCTGTGGGTGTTTATGTAGTTGAAGTTCATTCAAACAATTTAGGTTATCCAGGAATTGTAAGAACTAAGACCCACTTTTTTAACTGAAACTAAATACAGGAGCCATTCTGGTAGAATTGAGTAAACTCCTCCACAGGATTTGCTCCAAAGCGCTTTGTTTTGTGTAGGAAAGAAAATGCCAGCAGTCAAAGGAACTCCGTATCCAGAGTATATATTAATGAATTCAAATTTTAATATCCTTTTTCTGCCTTGAGTTTTATCAAGTTAAATGTTTCTTTATCCAATTTCATTTTGGTATATGGAATTGCTACTGCTGCATCAAACTAAGTTGCATACAATAATTTTTGTGCCGCAGTATTCAGAACTGAGTCATTTTATCTTGGTAATTCTTCTTGGTCATAGCCTCCAGACATTCTTATCTAAGCGAAAGCAAGAACTTGATATTTTTTTCTTTTTTCTTTTTTTTTCTTAACTGGGCAAACTGATAAATTTCATCAGTAAATATTTTAGCTCCTGTCTGTGCCTGATACAATATACCACTGTTTTAGAGGAGGGATGAATGTGTGTTCTCCCTCCTGCCCTGCTATGGTGTGCTTGATTTGTGGGATAATGCTGGCATGACCAGTGGTGTCTGTGTGCCACGGTATCCCCAAATCAGTCCTTGCTATTCTTCTAATGGTTTATTATGTATTTATTAATGTGTTTGTATAAATTATGCTAATCAATTGTGCCAAAGTGGAATGTTGCCTCTAAGCCTACTCACTAACTGTATCTCCATGATGTTGTGCTTTTTCTGACACTTGCTGTCATTCTGTATATAATAAATTGCAGGCACCAGATGGAATTTGATTGTATTTATTTAACTATATTGTGAGATTGCTCTATGATAATTTCTACTTTCATAACTTCTTTTCATTAGAAATGTGCGGAAATCATTGATAGGGAACAGAATGTTCTAGAGAACTCCAGAATGTTCCATTTCTCTTAGGATTGTGTTGAACCTCCTTCTGGACCAGGTCTTTCTGAGATCATTTGTCAGTTTTCAGAAGTAAATCCTCCAAGCCAGAAGAAGTTCAGTGTATTTTAAGGATGATATTTTTATTACAGTTATTGACTAACAAACATAAAATAACAAATTCTATAAACAGTACAAAATTAATTAGACTCACAATAACTTATTAATCTTCACCATTTTTTTAAAATGGAGAAGGGGCAACTTGGAGATGAGTACTTTTAATAATACTTTTTAAAAATATTAAGTAAACATTTTAAAAAGTATTTTAATACTTTTGTTTCTATTCCTGCTCAAGCTTCTCGTGCTTTGTAAAAAGCTTTTTGTCAGGAAGAGATTTGGCATAATTCATAAACATAATTCACAAACTCTAGCATTCTTAGGAGCATTCTTTTCACTGGTTGACAAATATTATATATTCTTTATTTTCCTCCTAGCCACTCAAATCCTGTTGGATAGAGTGTAGGGAAACGATTCTGGATTAATAGTCCTCACACAAATGCAAGATGATTTTTGTTCAATTATTAATAGCCTCTATTGTCTTTTTTTTTTTAATTAGCCTGCTGACATCGTTGAGACTAAATATAAGTCAGCACAGTGCTACAATATTTATTATGTTCCATTCATAAAGTTTAAAGTGCTGGGATCAAAGCAGAATAATAAATAATGTGAATTAAATAGAACTGTAATTATATACTGAGAACCTATTAAACACCCTTACATTTAAAAAGAAAAAACATCATGCAACAGGACTTTGGACCAAGTTGTCTGTTTATTTCTTGTGTGTAAAAATTTAGTTTGACTGATCAATCTGCTTCAGATAAATGTTGTAAAATTTGCTAGAATTTTTAAAACTGGGTCAAAAAAAAGTTTACAGCCATGAGAGCAGGCCAGAATTAAAGGCTGCAAATGCGTATAAAGATTAGATGTAAAAGAAAACTTGCTAGAAATCAGTATTTTTAGAATAAATAAAAACTACTGTATTATTATTCACAATTGTCCAATATTACCTGTGCATATAGCGCCAGAAGAAATAGCATGCTGTCTTAAAGGTATTCTGTTCAATAGTAACAATCCCTGCCTCCTCCTCAGATTCTTTTTCCAAAACTGCTATGGGTGAGGACATAAAGATGGTTATTGAATACACCTGTACATGGCATCTGTGCCACACCTTTCTTTGACATACCTTTCCCAGAAGCCCAGTTTAAATTCATATAAGCACTTTGGGGCTGGAGGCACATTAATAACCTGGAGAGCAGACATGGTGGTCATGGCAAGCCTCCAAACACCCATCTATCAGGGTCAAAACCAAGACGTTTGCTCCATTGTTGGATGCCCTACATTCAATGCTTCCACGCCCAGCTTACTCTTATCTTTTCTGATCATTCACTTCCAAATAAAGGACTCGCCCTTTTTCATTCTTTCAAAGTATCTTCTGGATCTATATGAATTCCAGAAGTATTCTTGGAAATAAAGGCAATACAAGTGGCTGGCACTTTGAAGTATGTTTATTTCCAATCTTATTTTTTTAATTCAAAAAATATTTTAAAGGTTCATAGAGCAGAAATTGGCCAGAAGCCCTTTTTCTGATTTAGACATATTTTTAATGGCTATGCTCTTGGCACAATAGTTTCTCGTGAATTGTACTATTAGCTTGCTATAGAGCTTTACAGCTTCTCTTTCCAACTTGCTGTGAATTTTACAGTGTGGGATGTTGTCCTGCACTGGGATGAACAGCATCAAGAAGGAGGCAATTAGCAAGTTTCTAATGCTTTTATTAATTTGTTCATAAGTCACTTAATGATTCATGCTATGATTACAGGATATAAATTATGCAAAGAAAACCAAGAACAATACACAGAAAAAGTACATTGTGCCTCTTAATTCATAGCTATAGCTTAATACAGCAAAAAAGACCACATCCAATCCAGGAAACCTAAAGGTCAATTTGAAGAGTAAAGAATCAGGAGAGACCAAAAATGAGACCAGAGGAACACAGGTCTCATAATGGAAAATTGTTTTCAATGCAGGGAAGGCATCCTGGGAGTGCTCTTAAATAGCAGGAATTCAGGACCTTGCCTAATTAGAAGAACATGCTGTCTGCTGTCAAGGAGACCTGCTACTCCTTAGTTGATCATGTGTTTTAAGATTTGGTACTCACCCAAGTTCAGGATTTGGCCCCTTGTTCTCCAAATCAGCAATCACCTAACACTGGGTCTGAATTGTTGATTTGTTTCCCATCTACAGATTCTCCTCTTCAGCTTTAGAAATAGGCAAGTCCGTAACAATAACTAAATGGGAATGCTCCATCATCCTGCTTGAGTAGGATCTCATAATTTTATTGCACAGAACATTTGTCTTACAACTCAAGATTGAAGCAACACTCTAAGATTAAAGGCTTAAATTTATTATTTTGAGGGTAGGAAAGAAAACATCTGGTCATAGATTTGGAAAAAGTTCTTCAGACTATCAAGCCAACCTGGTGATTAATTCTAGGAATTCAAGCAAGCTCAATGCATTGAACAGCCAGTCAAGGAGAGTTAATCATTTCTGTTAATTCTTGAGTCTACTGCCCTATTGAAGTTTTCTTAATATTCAACAGGAATTTTCCTTGTTTGTGACTTATTCTGTATAACAAGAGTGAATAGGCATTGATCTTTGGGGTGTCATCCATTCATATTCTTGAAAAGTGGTACATGTCTTTCTACTCCCTTTGTAAGGCTAAGTATTAGAAATATACAGCTTTCTGACAGGATGGATCATTCTGAAATAAACTCAAACAAGGTAATCCCTGATCTGGTTACCACCTGCTCTTTGATCAGGACTGTGGATCTAGGAGGACCTTCAGATTGCACAATGTGTCTGTCTGGGATTGTTCAACCCCATCCAGGCCAGAAGTGGAAAAAACTTGATACTAGAAGGCCCAAGCACCCAGGGCCACTCAGTCTTACTTGGGTTAAGCTGGAGCCCATCGTATGGGAGGGAGAGGGAGAGGACCTACTCCTGGTCCAACACCTTAATCACATTATTTGCTGACTATAAGTATAGAAGGGTTATTATTTTTTAAGGTAGGATACTTTCATGTTGTATATGTTCCTGTGTTAGCTGTCTTTACAAAAAGTCCTGTAGCCTAGTAATAAACAATAACAAGAATCTATTTTACCAATAAAGTTATATCAGATAATCAAGTTTTAGAACACCTTTAGAATACCTAAATAGAAGCATTTCCTTAAAAAGAGATTACTGAATCCCCCACAATATAAAGGAGATCCCTTTATTATTTGTTATGTTCTTCAGTTTGCCAATTGGCTTTGAATGCTGCTAGAAAATACAAACTTTTCAAAAAGGGATTTCAGCAGTAGAGGGTGCTCTAATGTAATAAGTGTTTTGTATTGTAAGCAAAACAAGTATTTTTATTTTAATAAAGTCAAATAGAACATAACATTTTTAACATTTAAATAATTGATAGCATAAAATTATTTGTTGGGCTTTCTACTAAGTGTGATGTAATAACTTCCTCTCTTTGTTATACTTTAGGGTATCCAAAAAAACAAAGCAGGCTAGGAAAAAATATAATAGCAAAAAGTAATTCTTTCATTTCACACTATATACACATTTCTTAGGATAATAAAGGAAGTAATTATCACAGTATAATTTTGTTTTATTTCAAGTGATCACTCCTTTCAAATGATCTGTTAGACAGGAAGCATTTTGATACTTGGGTCTCCAAATAGTATTCAAAAGAAGAAAGTAAATGCCACATAAATAATAGTAAAATTAACCACAGCAAATGTAGTCTTAGATACAAGTATGAATTGCAAGCAAAACAACAAACAAAGAAAATCCAAACTTCTGATTCATTGGGAATGTAAATTGTTTTAAATCCTTGATTATAGGCTATTCACTCTTTCCACAGAGAAGTTGAGTTGTAGTCTTTTCCATAATCAAAGCATGCTTTTTGAATAGTTCGATATGTTGTAATCCTTGAATAGTAGTGGTGTTAGTGATGTTTGTTAATTAATTGTGGAATAGTGAATAACATGAATTTATTTTATAGGATCCTATCATTTGAAATTTATATTTTAAACTATTTCTAACTAACTCACAGACAAAGCAATTTCATTTACTCACTCTCTCCCCCCAAATCTCTATTTCTCAAGCTGATTCTTTATGGAACATAATATTTTGCTCTTTCACAATATAATCCAGCAATCTCAAATTTCTTACTGTTAATTATATTTTGTTTGCATTATCAGTCGAAGCATCTTACCAGAACCAAGCTTTTTCACAAAGCTGTCTAGTTATAAAAACATGGCATTCCCTTTCCCTTTTAAAAAATAATTTCAAAAATATAAAATAAGAAATCTGTGAACTGTACCTTTCTTTGAATAAAATGTGAAATTAACACCGGTGTTGCTCATGTCAGCAGTTTGGACCTATGCTGTAGCTGAGCAGTAGAATTATTGTCCACATCTTTTTACTATAAAGCTAGACTTCCAATAAATGAAGGGAAGTGACACTAGTTCAGGAATAAACCAATCCACTGAAAACCTGTGACTTAAGATGGAGACTCCAGATAATGGACTTCAAATTTAAAAAGCTCTGCCAACTAAATATACATCATTATGTCAGTCAAAATGCTTGTCCAGCACTCTACAAAATGTTCTTTATTTATATCCTGACCTTGTACAATACAAAATAGTTGCATCAGTCCCTGGTATTATTTTTCTCTGATCATTGAACTTGACACCCCCAAGGTAAATTTTCTTATTTAAGTATGGCAGAGGATAAAATGGAAATATTCCAGCTTTTCCTTTCTCTTTTTAGTTAAA